TTAATCTTGTCAGGATCAAAAATATCCGTAAAATATTTAATTATAATTTCATGACCGAAAATAACGTGGTCATGAGTTCTGGGAATTGATTTATCTCGATCATGCCTAACGAAATCTCCAGTATAAATAATAAAATCGATATTTTTAAAAGTATTTTGTAAATATGAAATTGTTTCATTGCTTAAAGTATATGGTGCATCGCATCTAGATAATAAAGTTCCATATTCTCCCGCAGTGTTTGTATCTGGATTAGTTTCGTTTTGTCGGTGACATAATTGTAAAGGATCGGTTTTACTTATGTAAAACGGATCAAGATGAATGTCTTTATTTTGGAAAGATGTGAAATTAAAAAATACGAGATTAATCCATGATTATAAATAAATATTTGTCCCAAATATATAAAAATATATAAAGTTTAAACAAATATTTGCCAGTGAGATGCAAAAATTTTCCGAAAAATTGATCCGCAGCTTCACAATTAAATTCTGTTATGATAAACAGCAAGGCAGCAGCAAAAATTAAAATGAACTTCATGGTTTTTCTTTTAAGAATAAGCTCAATCGCCTACAAACGCTCTAGATTTATATACGTAACGATGACGGCAAGAAATTATTTTACTGTCATGGCTTAGGTCATAAAAATCTCAGCCACAAAATATGAACTTTTGAATTATTTTAATAATTATACGCTCATTTCATAGTAGTAAAGTAATTATTAATCGTAAAAAACTTTCATATAAGAATGATTCTTATGTTAAATACATAATGTGAGTTATTTTGTAACTTGGACGTCTATGAGTTTATGCTAATATCCTATATACAACAGTAAAATGCAATGAAAATGAGATGGCGTACATGGTATACAATACGGCTTAAGTAAGTAATCCTTGATCCACATAAAACTCGATAATTATGCAGTGCAATTTTTTTAAAATTCCAGATAAACTGGTTAGACTCGTGCGCATTAACTTCAAAAATGATTATGGCTTTTTTCTTTAATATTAAATGTATATCACAATCTGCACGATCGATAACAGAAACATGGGATTTCTTGTTTTCTTCTTTTTTTATTTGATGTAATTTGCATTATTTACGTCGTCGCTCATTATTTTTGCGCCAGGATCATCACGATTTTTCTACAATACCCTGCAGATCGTGTACAACCCGCCGTAATCGTAAAGGTAGACCTGCCTGATCATCACTGACATTTATTACGTAATTTTTTGGGGGTTGAATGTGTACTATAGCAATATCTTACGTTACACATTAACATATAATATATGATTAATTGGCCAATCACAATTGGTCTTATGTGGGGTAGCCCTATAGTAAATGGATATTACGTAATAAATGTCACTGCCCTTACCGTGGATTTGTATATCTCGGAATCCTATAATCCAATTTAGATGGTTTTTGTATCGTTAGATTCATCTCACCGAGACGAATCTAATAGCTATAGTACCAAAATCATACAAATTGGATCACAGCATCCTGAGATACGTATTCAATCAACGGAAATAAAATCAATTTTTGGAAAAACGTATGCATACCCATGCAATTAAGTGACCATGTTTATTAATAAAGGGCGTTCTCAAACGCCTTAATCAATGGTCAAAATGTGTCGGTGAATAAATTTTACTTGACGGAAAATATTTTAGACAGGCCAAGTGT